CCACCCCCACCCCCCATTATGTATTTTGGAGGAAGCAGTATCTTCATTGTGTTCAGCAGTATATTGCCTGCTGTTTTTGTTAATCTTTCACAGCAATATGTGGATTGCTTTGTGAAAAGACCCAGGTTCCGATATTATGTCAAAAAAGACCCGAGGAAGCTTTATTGCACCACTTTGGTTTTCGTTCAGGAACACCAGGCAGGTGGCCGGTGTCACTGGCAAGAGTGTTCACCTGGCAGGGTACTAGCTCATTGGCTCTTCATAACGATCATTTCAAGCAGTGCTGACTCTGGGGTCACTGTTCTCAGCGCTTACAATATACGTAATAACTTCTAATCTTCACGGCACCCCTATGATGTAGGAGCTGTTAACGTTATTTCCGTTTTACAGGTGAGGAAATGTAGGCACCCAGAGGCTCCGTAGTTCGTATACCGCGAGTAGATTGTGCCAGCTCAGGCCCGGCAGCGCCAGCCTGGACTGTTATCACTAACCCTGTTTTCTAGGCAGGAGAATAAGAGCAGAGAGGTTACGGGCTTGCTGAGGCTTGCAGGTGGGGGAGTCAGGAGATCAGTTTTGCACGTGTTGAGTGTGGAGTGCCAGTTCACATCAAGTGGAGGTCACGCAGGCAGTTGAATAATCAAGTCTTGAGTTCAGGAGAGAGGGCTGTGTATGAAATATAAATTGACAGCTGTTGGCGGATGGATGGTCTTGATGAGACATGGAGTGAGTGTGGGGAGAGGTCGAAGGGGTCCAAGGACTAAGCCTTGGCTTCTCTGATGGCGAGAGGTTGGGGAGAAGAGGAGAAATTAAAGGAATCGAAGGTATGATCACTGAGAAAGAAGGAAAATTGTGGTGCCCGGAAACCAGGTGAAAGAATAATATGACTGTGTCTCGAGGAGCGACTAACACTGCCTAACGCTGCTGAGACAAGTCAGAGGAGAACTGAGAACTGACCGTCGATTTGGCGATGTGGAGCCCACTGGTGACACTGACCTTGCGTGGAGTGATGGAAGAGAAAGACGCACTCCAGTGAGTGTAGGAGAGAGATTGTATTCAGCAAGCACAGCTAACTTTGTAAGGAAGTTTTGCTGTAGCTGGTGGGGCCTGGAGACAGACTTTTTCAAAGATGTTTTTAAAGACAGGAACAATGGCCTGTTTGTTTGTCGAAGGGAATGGCCCTGTGGTAAAGGAAAGGGGGTGCAAGAGCGAAGGAGGGAGAAGTGGGGTGACGTCCGTGCTAGTGAGGACACAGGACCCAGCTTCAGGTCTTGGCTTCAGGTAGAAGGACCCACGTGTGTCCCAGGATGCAGTGAAGAGGCAGAGGAGAGCCTGCCATGAAGATGCTGTTTGGTGGGTGGGTGTCCTGGGGGTGCCTGGGGGGATGGGAGGTGGTGGGGCAGTGGGCAGTGCCGTCTGATGAAATGAGGTGCAAATCTAAGGGAGTGTTGGGGGAGGGGGAGAATGGTCTGGACGCGGCGTTGAGGAGCAAGGAAGCCCCTTGACCCAGCTCCACACCCGGAAGAGAAAGGGCGCCTCCCTGGCAGGGCAGGGGAAGCCGTGTCCGCAGGGGACAGCCAGGCCTCGCTTAGAACAAAGAGGCTCAGGGAACGTTCCACAGAGAGAATTAACAACGAGCCGATATTGGACGGATGTGAAGGTTTATCATGCGTAATAGAACTTGGTGAGAATTCCCATTTTTCAGTATTTAGATTTTCTATCGGAGTACATGGTATGTTTGAATATTCATGTCTTCCCCGCCCTTTCCGTTTTAGGAAAACTGCCAAGCTGTAGAAATAACAATCTGGTCTTTTTCAACTGTCATAGTCAGTCTTCTTCACCCACAGTCCTCCTGGTTTCAATATCTGTGACATTTCTGGGTCATACGCTCAAGTCTGAAACCAATCATGAACTTAAAAAAAAAAAAAAAAGCCTAAGTCGTCTTGTGGATAAAATACGACCTTCTCTTTACAAGGCACATTTAAATTTTCCAGAACACTTTCACATCTGTTATCCCATCCCACAGTAATCCTGCGGGGTGTCCGGGGTGGGCGTCACTATCCAACTCTGCCCTTGAGGAAGTCGAGGACTCGAGGAGGTTACATGACCCGCCTGAGACCAACTACCTCAGGAAGCAGGTTCTGATTTTAAACTCGGAGCACTTTTACCTTTAAAAGCCGCCTTGCCATACCCAACAGAAATAAAAAACACATGTGCACACGAACACCTGTAAGGAATGCTCACAGCAGCATCAGCCACGATAGCCAGAAGGCAGACGGACCCACGTGTCCATCCCCTGATGGACGGCTACACAAATTGTGCCGTGGACGTGCAGTGAAACGGCATTCGGCGACAAAAAGAAATGTAAGTCCCGACACACGCTACAAAACGGGTGAACTCAGACAACGTATGCGAACTGAAAAGAGCCAGTCACAAAGGACTACCTCTCATGTGATTCCACTACGTGCAGTGTCCAGAGTAGATAAATAAATAGAAATTAGATGAGTGGTCACCAGGGGCTGGGGGACATAGGCATAATGGCAAATGGAGTGGTTGCAAATGGGTACAGGGTTTCTTTCTAGAGTGATGAAATACTCTGAAATCCGATAAACAGGATAGTTGCGCAACTCTGGGCATATACTAAAAACCACTGATCTGTACACTTTAAAAGGGTGAATTTATGATGTGTGAATTATATCTCAGTAGTTCTCGATTTAAATATCATCTTGCCACATCCCTTGTCTTGCGTTATCTTCAGTGAAAGGATCCTGAGACCTGAGGCCAGCGAGGTGGGGTGGGGCTCAAGCTGGACTGTGCCTTCGAGGGAGGTGGGGGCTCCCCCCCCCACCGACGCCCCGGTGGCCAGGCCCCAGCAGTTCAGGGAGTGGTGGGGTTGTGGCCAGTGGACACACACGGGAAGCACTGAAGCCAAAGTCCGTCTCCAGGGTGAAGAGTAATGATGCAGGGGTCGGCGTGCTCACGTAGCTACTAAACGTGTCCCCATCAGCCGGCAACCCCGCGAGGGTCAGTAGAAACACAGTGGGAGAGGAAGGAGGCTGCAGCCCAAAGGGCAGGACTGGGAAGGCTCAGGCCACCAGCACGGTCTTCAGCCAAACGTTCCAGTCAGGGGTCGGCGCCACCCTGGCCCTGGCAGCGTTTCTGCTTCTTGGACCCGGGGTGGAAGCCACTGAGTGCAGTGAACTGGGACACCAAGGCCTCCCCTGGCTGGGTCTGCCCCAAAGCAGTCTAGACATTGTCAAATTGTAGGTGTGTCCCATTCCATTCATTTGTCTTTCCCCAGGTGGAAGCCTCCTTTACCCAGGATCCCTTGCTATCGATGGGTTTCGGGCTCTGTGGGGTTCCGGTCACCCCTTCTGCTCCCTGTGGCACCTTAATGCTTACAGGTGTGGTAAAATGCTTTACCTTTTTTTATCAGCTGCACCCCTACTCGTAGAAATTAGAACTAGATTCATTCATAGAGTCTGCAGTACATTATGACCAAATTCTGCATGTCCATCTCGGGAGTCTGCTTTCCTTACACCTGGTCTCTTCAAGCAGGAGCAGATATTGCCTTCTGCCTGTTCTGAACTTCTGCCGCCAGCATTCTAGAATGTTCTGCAGCTAGCTCTTGTGTGACTCCCACTGCGTTAATTCTTGAATGTTTAATGGACTTTATCGGTATTGTGAATGGTTTTTCTTTTTTTCTTTTTTCTCTGCATTTAGTTTTTGTGGGTTTTATCTGTATCTTGTGACTTTGCTGGACCAATTTCTTATATTTGGGGATTTCCTTGGATTTTGCAATCATGTCACTTACCAGCAGTTTTTTAAATCTTTTACATCAGTTCCTTTTATATCTGCTTCATCCTTTCTTATTGCTGTGTTTAGGGTGTGTTTCTAGCATTGCTCTGCTGAAGTTATTTTTGGTCTCTGGTTTTTAGCTTTTGGGAGCGGCCATCACCGTCTATTCTTTGGCGTGTGTAGATAGCATTCTGGATCCGGCGTGTGCCGTAAATTAACATTTATTGGGCATCTTCTTGGCATCTGTGGGAATCCTCTCTGGTTTTTACTGTCCTGTTGCTGTGTTTAGCTCAGCTTTCTGTGTAAGTCTCTGGAATTTCTGAGATGACCCCCTCCCTGGTCAGAGGGACCGATCCTTTTGATCTGGCGCTGAGTTCTGTTTGCTAAGTGGAATTTCAGATCCAAGTTTAAACAAAATTAGCCTGTAATTTTCTTCTGTACTGTTGCCCTGACAGGTTTAGGCCCTAAAGCCTAGTTAGCCCACAAAATGAACCGGGCATTTTTTTGTTTTCTGTGAACATTTGTGGAGCCTGTTGGTATGCACAGCCCGTGTCACCCGTCAGACCGGTGGACGCCTGGGGTCTGCTGCCCCTGCTCAGATGCCAGAAAGAGGCTGGACTTCGGCCAACAAGGAACCTGCTCGGCAATCCGGACCCTCCACAGCTTTACATGCTCCTGGCGGATGTCACTCAGCCTCTGCTTATTGTTACCCATGGTACATCTGTGCTTCCTGCTATCCTCTCGCTGTTGCTCTTTTTGAGGCATAAGAAGCAGAATTGCCAAAACGTTCCCGATGCTCAACACAGGCAGAAGGCACTGCTTTGGCTGTCACTGTGCTTTCATGGGGCTATTCCTGGTAAACAGCACTGTTTATTATGCACGGAGTGACATGTCCAGGGCTCAGTGAAATTCTAACTTTCTGGTTGTAACATTCTGTTGTAACATCCCTGTTATAATAGACTGATCTAGCAGAGTGCTCCTTCACTAGCAATGGTTTTTTAATATTGCTAAGTTTGGATAAATCTGATGCTTGATCCCAGGGGACGGGATGCCTGAGGCAGTATTCAGTATTCAAAATCAGCGAAGTGCTGGGGCCCAGGGGAGGAAAAGTGGGGCATTTGGGGCTATAAGCTTTTGTTTTCTTGTGGTGACCATCACATTGATGCTATGTGATGTGTCACCCTCGCTTGCTTTCATCCTGACGAACAGGAGGCAATAAAGTTTAGGGGTTCAGTACATGAACTCCACAGCCAGGCTGCCTGGGTGCAAATCCCACATTCAGATTGCACAACTCTGGGCAAGAACTTCTCTGTGCCTCCGTTTCCACATCTGGAAACTGGAGTAATAATAATACCTACCTCATAGTGTTGTTGAGGAATACGTGAGTTAATACAGAGGGTGCCAAAACATGTATACACATTTTAAGAAAGGAAAAAACTGTACTAAAATTGTAATACTCAAAATATACCAATAACAAAAGATGAATACAAGTCACGTTTGACTTCTGCAATTGCCCTCTGTATGTAAAGCACGTAGAACGTGACTGATATATAAATGTGTTACCATCATCAGCAACAACATCTGAATCTAAAAGACTTTTCACATCAAGAGAAGCTTTTAACTTTGGGTTAAGAAGATGAAAATCTCCCCTCTCTGTTCCCAGCACAGAAAAAACAATAGATAAAAAAAATTATTTTTAAGTCTTTTTAAATTTTTTTATTTTGGCATTTCATATTTTAATAGTTTAATTTTATGTTGAATGTATATTAATGTATCCTATTATACTAACAGTACATATTTATAGATTTAATCATATAATTTTAAGTTAAATAAAAATATTTTGAATTGAAAAATTCAAAACTTGGAGTTTTTTAATCCAAGTTGCAGTTCTGTGCCCCAGGAGGAGTGGAACGCCCCAGCAGTGAGCAGGCCAAACCAGCGGGCCGGCCAGGCTCTGGCACAGGGGTGGGCAGTGGGCTCTGGACACTGTGGATCCAGGCGGGACTGCCCTTCCCACTGGGGACACAGGCGGAGGGAAGGTCCCTACAGCCCGCTCTGGGTCTCAGTGAGAAACCAGCTGCTGAGCCAGAAAGCAAGCACAGGACGCGTACATACTCAATATGTGTAAAGAAGCCCCATCAGTTAGTAGGAAAACAATCTAGAGTAGAGACAGGCAAAGCAGACAGATAAACAGTTTAAGGAACAGGCTTTGCAAATGCCTAGTGTGCACGTAGAAAGCTATTTCACCTCGTTAGCCATCAGGTGAACAGACATTAAAACAGCGAGAGCCTATCTCTCACCCATCATGTTGACAAAAATTACCTTTGTGTATCTGGTGGTGACGGCGGGGGTTCTTTGATCTTTGGTAGAGGTAGAGATGGTGGTTCAGTGTTGAATAATGGCTCCGAGCTTAGACTCACACCGACCTGGGTTCAAACGCTGGCCTCACCACTCAGAAACAAGTCGTGTCTTTCCCCCGCTCCTCGGTGGGGGTAACAGGAGACCCCTTTTGTGGAATGTTGTCAGAGTCACAGAAGGACAGAAGGTGGCGTGTGGTCAGTGTTTCAGTGGTGATGTGCACAATTTCTTGCTCGTAGGAACGTGAGGGGCATGTGTGAGGAGGGCCAGGTCGTGTGACCAGAGCACAGCACCTGCAGGGGATGCCTAGTAATGACCTTGGGAAGGGTGAGGAGGGACTCCCAGGTTAAACAAGCGTTTTTATCTCCACTTCCTCCCCAATCACCTCCAAAATGGCGGTAAAGGAATTAGAAAGCTATAATCGCACGAGGGCCACGAGGACAGTGGGGCATTTGACAAGGGCTGTCACAAAAGTGTAGAAGGAAGGAAAGGAGACGCACAAGAGAGGGAGGAGGCAGGCTGGGGACCGTGCAGCGGGGGCCAGCAGAGGGGAGGTAGCAGTCAGCGTCCCAGCAGAACCCTGGGAAGGGCGGGCAAGGGCCGGTCCTTCTGAGCTGGGGCTAAAAGTGGGAGGCCTGGCTGTAGATCTGCACCAGGGCCATTTGGACCGCAGGGAGCAGGCGCTGAGCTGTTCCCTGCCTGGGGACGAGGCCTGTGCACGCAGGCTGGGGACGCCAGGCACAGGTGAGCGTGGGAGTGAGAGGCCAGGCCGACCGCAAAGAGGAAGTGAGAGACCTCGCCCCCTTGGCCCACTTGCTCTGAGGGCAGGAGACTGGAGCCACCCTCGCCAGCACAGGAAAGACCTAACAGACCGACACCTAGATAGACACTGGCCAGGCTCCTCCCCGCGCCCCCCTTCCATGAAGCCAGCCTGCTGAGCCCCCCAGCTCACTGCCAGTTGGCTTTCCAGTCCTGGTTCTTGGGTTAAAAAAAAAATGCCAAAGTCACCCAAAATTTTTTTATCAAAAGTATCTATCATGAATGTATTGGTCAGAGTCACAAAAAAAGAAAGGCACGCTCGGCAGGGGTCCAGTGACAAAGGTGTGAGCAGAGTCTGCGGAAGCCAACAAGGAACAGTGTGGCATCCTGGGGTGGCACCGCCAGAGCTGTCACCACCCTAAGCCTTCCACGAAGGAGGCTCCCAACCATCGGACTCATCAGGGAGCCAGTGGGAGGGCACACCGCCCATCTCACCCTCCAGCTTCCTGCCGGCCCCTCTGCTGACACAGCCCGCAGAGGTCAGCCCCCCCAGGCCGCAGTCCACAGCCTGCCCTTCGCCCTCTAAGTTATGGTCGTAAGGTTCATAATTGGTGCTCATAGCTGTCGTTCATTCATTGTTCACAGCTGTAGAATCGTCTTTTGGCGAATGTGCTGCTTTTTATGTCTCCATTTTCATTTTTGGACGTTTGGGTCATCTCCAGGTTTTTGCTATTATAAGGAAATGATACTGCGGTCATTCTTGATTTAGATTTACTAGCATTTCTCTAGGGCAGGGGTCGGCAAACTGCGGCTCGCGAGCCACATGCGCCTCTTTGGGGATGTACATGGGGCTCTGAAGTAAAATTGAAAATGAAAATAAAACTATCATGGTTTCACTGATAAAATTTTTAAAGGATGTTATTCGCATAATGGTGATTTCATTTGTTTTATGGCTCTCGAATAGTTTTTAAATTGTTGTGAGGCACAGGATTGGCTCTTCCGTCTCAAAAGTTTGCCGACCCCCGGGCGAGGGTATAGACGCTCCTTCACAGGGTAGGCACGTGTTCAACGTGACAAGATAATGCTGAATTCCTTCCCAAAGTGGTCGCCCCCATTTATACTCCACCAGCTGTGTGTGTGGAGAGTCAGTTCGCTAGCCTGGTTATCAGCTTCAATCCTGGCTTGACGGGTGATGAGAATTCGCTGCATGTCACTCAGATGAAAGGCTGTGTAAACTGTTTCGTAGATAATAACAGCAGTGGTCATATCCAAAAGTCAGAAGCACATCAAAACAGGGCAGAGGTTGTCCAAAGAGCCTGGTACCTACGTGCAGCATTCTTAGCTCACATTGGATGATGACTTATATTGTGTTATACGAGATGCCTCGTAAGTGTGCCTGACAGGGCAATTGTTGCTGATTGTTTTAGCTAAACACTCTGTCTTTCCTCAGGATGTATAATAAGATGTGGCATCAGACCCAAGAAGCCCTCGGTTCTTTGCTCAATAAAGAGTCTCAGAAGGTAATAGAACCACAGAGAAATCAAGCTTTCATCTTCCAGACGTTAGCCACCTTCTACATAAAATATGTGCAGATCTTCAGAAACCTGGAGAACGTCTATGACCAGATTGTCCACCCGCAGAAACGAATACTGATCCGAAAAATACTGGATGGAGTGATGGGTCGCATTCTGGAACTGAAGAATGAAATGGTTGAACTGGAATTAACCGAGTTCCATTATTTTGATGACATCTTACAGGATCTGAAGTTGGCTCCCGTAAGTACTCGGGTATTTTTCTTATTAGTTTTGGTTTTAAATAAGATTTTTAGGCCTGTAACCAGTACTCTACAGACTGTCAGACATAATTACTAGTTGGCTGTTGTGTTAGAGGCGGACGCATAGCCCTTCAGTTAGACCGTGCTGGGTTCCCCAGTGTGGGGCTCAGATGAATGCTTACAGTCTCTGGGTGTGTTTGACACTGAAGTCATTGGCTCTTCCTTGTCACCGTGGTGGCTGTCCAGGCCTGTTGGGATGGAGGAGGCCAACCCCTTCCCAAATATCCTGTGGCAAAAAGCCCCCCGATGTTCAATAGCAGTGCCCCTACTTCTGTTTCCAAAGAAAATCTCTCTCTCGACTTTGCCCATCTTCTGGATGAGTTGCCTCTGGCTGCTGGGTTCTTACCCCCAGGTGGACGCACCTCCTCCTTTGCTTTGGGTCAGTGGTGATTCAGGTGGGGGCAGTGGGGGAGAGGTATAGCTATGGGCCTTTGAACGTCTGGCACTAAACGACTTCCTCTGTCTGAGGCCCAGGAGCGCTCCCTGCTGTCATGTCACCACAGCACCCTCCTGTGAGCGTTAGGCCTGGCTGCTGCACTGGGCCCGTCACTGCCAGCCCCCAGCCTCTCTTCTGAGGCTTTGTCTGGCTGGGCCTGCTGGGGACCGGTGGACACCTCACTTCAGTAGCATGATCCCATGAATTCAGGCTTCATTTTGAAAGGAACGTTTCCCAAAATAAAATTAAAAGGAGAAAGTGTTTAATTTCTACATGAGGTTTAATGTTTCTTCCTTCTGAAAATATTTGGGCTTCTCTATAATTTTATGTTTCCCTAATATTAGTAGTGCATTTTATTAGAATGGACTAAAGAGAATCACTGAAATGAACGAAATGTTGACGATCGTTCCAAAACTTTCATGTGCATTGCATTCATTTATGAGAGCATGGATTAAAGCACCCAGCTTTATAGGTCAGGTGTGCTTTACTTGCCCATGTGGAAATATCACAAACAACTTAGAATAATGGGAAACCAATAGTCATTAAATGATATTCCTAAACTTAACTAATAAAGTAATATTAAATGTATTAATTTAATTCCAAGAATATTAAATAATATTTCTAAATTTAAGAAATAAGGAGTTGATGAAATTTGTATGGTGGGCTCCTTCATTTTCCCCCTGCTTTTCTTGCTGCTTCACTCATCCCTCTGCCTTGGCTGGCTCCTCTTCTTGGAGGCATGGCCTTGAGAGGGGTGATGGAGCCGCTGGGCCTTGAGAGGGATGGTGGAGCCGCTGGGCCTTGAGAGGGATGATGAGTGAGCGACATCATCCAGGTAGCCTTCGTGGCAGGACACTATCAACGGTGTTGACCATCAGACCTGGAAGGTATGGGTTGAACCATGTGATGGCACTGAGGTCCAGCTGGTCACAGGGCACATCCAACATCAGAAGCACGGAATCCATAAACAGTGTCCTGGCCAGAGAGACACACCAACCTCTGGGAACTTCTGTGTGGCCCAGTCCTGCATTTCAGGGTGGAACCCCAGACCAACCAGTGTCCTCGGTGTCTGGGCTTCTGTGGCTGTGTCACCCGCATAGCCTGCAGCCCCCCTACGCCTTGCCAGGCCAGCACCCAGCTATTTGTACAGTGTGACTGGCACCACTGACCGCCGCTGATTGGTTCAGGGATGGGTGCCTTGGCAGCTGCCCCATCCAGTCCTCCCTGGAGAGACTCCGAACCTGGACAGAGAGACCAGTTTTGGTCTCAGGGTCTGAAAATTGTAGTCTCCCAAACTTGTAAGTACTTGGAGACTTTGTTCACCAGATTCTCAGAAGCATGGAGAATGCTGCTGTTCCGAGAGAAAGAGGGAGAAAGAGAGAGAGGAGAGCAAAGCAGACTCACCGAGAGGAGCAGAAACGAACGGCCGAGTCCTGGGGGCATCTTCATCCCTGAATACGTCCCTATTGCTGACAGACATGCAGCCATGTTCCTGCCCCTGGTTCCGCAAGGTCCCAAGTCCTTCCATCAGTGTCCCCTTTGGGCCAAACTAGCCAGAAGACCGTTTCTGGAACCTGCCACATGAGGACCCTTCCCAAATGAGTCCCCGAATGTGGAGAGACACGCAGGGGAGGGAGAGTTTTTCTGCCACCAGAAGTTCCCTTGATTCCACCCCACAGAGGCTGGAACCCCCCCGCCCCGGAACCTGTGATGGACATAAAACCTAGCGGGGATGGAAAGCCAGCAGCAAGCCCAAAGCAGCCGACCTCGGCCTTCCTCCCTCTCGCGGCTCACTCCTGTTTCCTCACCCTCGAAATCCTAACTATAATTTTCGGCCCTAAATGGACCAGATGGAGCCATGTCAGTAAAGTTTTGTCTTAAAATTTAGGAAAGCACAATAATTGAACATGCTTATTAATAAATAAAATCACAATGTAAAAACTAGCCATTCTCCTGCGACCGTCCTCCATCCCCAGGCCACTGGACCCTGGAAGCTCACCCTTAGTTCATCCCCAGTGCTCCATTAGTCTAAGAAAGATTTGGTTTTCAAAAACTACTGCCACCTCCCAGAAGTGGGGATACCATCCCAACCAAGTCCTCACAAAGACACCCGTTTGTGCTCTGGTGCTCATGTAAGGGAAGGCCTGTTCAAAATCCCCTGGTTTGGGAGAAGAGTGTGGGGAGTCACACTGGAATGGGGGCCTGAAGACTAGAACCTTAGCTTTCCCAGGTCAACTGGTCTACCAGAAGGCAGCCAGGCGTGTCTGAAAGAGTATCTAGGGGAGAGGGGTCGGCCAAGGGCCCACCTGTATCCTTTAATAACCCTCATACACTCCTGATTATTGAATTTAGACCAGTACATAGTCATTTGACCTCCACTAATTTGAAATATTTGGTAATATACAAAAGTGAAGAACAGAAGTTTATATTTATTGTATAAAAACAAGTTTCCTAATAAAGGCAATTAATTTTTCAATAACTTTTGTAATTGGGGTGATTTTAAACCAGGTAAAAATAAAACCAAATTATTAGAAAAAATTGTGACCATTTATGTACAAATAGTTCATGGTGCTAATGATAAATTATTAGGTTTAATTCAAAGATCTCTGTAGCTCAATACTTTGTTTTTCTAATTTGCATTATTATTTTAGATAGGCTGAGATGATATTATATTTCTTTAAAGAAATTCATTGTTATCATTAATTAATTGAGGCCTAACTCTGATGTGAATTACTGCAGTTTTACTGTAATGAAAACAAGGGACATGGCTACAACTTTTCCTTTTGACTTTATTTGTATCTCCTCAGCAGTAACGGAGTCTTTTTACGCCTCTGGCCTCACTGTATCTTAAATGAGGACGGGAAGTAAAGCCCGTCCCTTGGACCACATGTCCTTATTGTATATTTTAAGTGGATTTGAGCCCTGGAATTGTGACAAAAATGCTCTTTTGTTTATTTTTTTGTCTTTTCTAGCAACAATTAGATATTCCCATCCCCAAGTATTTTTTGAAGGAGAAATTGGAAGTAATAAAAGGAAGAGAGAAAATCCTTGCTCAAATATTAGCCGACACGGGACTGGAAATATCTAACATGGTTTGTGTATCCTTTTAACCAACGTTCTTCCATAATCTGTAAAACCTCCCATTCCTGCTTCTAATTGAGAAGCACCTGGAATCTCTGCAGTGTGCGGAGAGTAGCACCCTGCCCCCGAGGTGGTGAATTGCAGCACCCACACTTGGGACCTCAGTGTCTTGCACTGTATCCTGACATTGTGGCCAGTGCAGTGCCCCCCGTCACCCCACCCCATCCTCCCAAGACCTGGAAAAGGGCTCAGCTCGTGTTTGGGTGTGTTTTGGGATCCCAGCAGCCTCTCCCTTCTGCCCATCCATGCACGAGCTTCTCCCCTGGCCAGGCCACATGCACAGCTGTTCCCTCGCTCCAGGGACGGCAGAGGGCCTCGGGCCTGAGCCCACTCAGAGCTCATGCAGGCCTCTGAGGCCCAGCAGCCCTGCTTTCGGTTCTCCCTCTTTCCTTCCAGAATAGTGCTGTCCCTCGCTGGACTTCACCCCCCACATCCTGCCCCTGAGGCCTCCAAGCAGCATTTTACTGCACAGCCCAATTTTTCTGTCTTCATAGTACCCATCACGTTTGGATGTGTTAAAATACAAGTGTGGAGGTCCTGGAGGACATTTCACCTCTACAGTGAAGACTCTTACAATGATTTTAAGTTAGTCACATTCACTAGATCATTCTGTAATTGACTTTCAAGTCAGCATTTTACTTCGGGTGTATTTTATGTCTTAAATTCCCCTATTAGAGATGTGTTTTTAATTTATGTTTACACTATTAAGTTAATGAAACATTGATAGCGATTTCAAGTTTTATCGGATCCATTTTATTGGCATTCCTAGTATCTTTTGCTGCCAACCTAAAATACCAAGGAGCTAATTAGCATTTTGTTTGGAATGGTAGAGGAAAGCTTAAGGGATTCTTAAATATGGGACCACGACATGCACGTAGCATATTATCAAAGTATACAAATTGGGTTGTCGGAAAAGTCATGACACGTTTGTGACAGGTGGCACTAGTTCATTTTGGAAGTACTAGAG